TGTGTGTGTTTGCAGGATAACACTGTGTGTCTTTGTTGTGCACAGGAACTTTCACCAACCGCAGCTCCTTTCAAGACGTCTCTGCCACTGGTGCTGATCCCAGTAAGTTCCAGTTGACTTTATAGAAATGAAATGGCACCAGTTGATGAGTATCACAAATTGTTGATTAGACTTTGGGATCATAATGGCGTTCTGATATTTGAAATCACCAAACTGCCACTAAAGCCCGAGTTCCCTGCGAGGGCTTTGGCGGCGAGCCTCTCCGGGGTTGGCAGATATAAACGCCGTCACAGGTCACGTGGCGCCGGGTCACCCTCTCTCCCCGTCCTGCTGTTTTCTAGCTTTCTCTCAACACTTTCTGATGACGCAGCTGAACTTAATTCACCCTCTCGTCGTCTTCAAACGCCACGACCTCCTCGCTCTCTGCAGCCGTGTGTCTGTTGTTGCATGACCGTGCAGAGCTTCTGAATCCAGGCTGTTCACACCAGTCTGTATGTTTGCATGAAGGAGAACGTCACGCCTTTGCTAAGATCACATGTTTCACTTTCTTGTGCGTGATGCAATCACAGCCTGACGTCACATGACCACAATCTGCATGCGTGATCACTGCTGCACAGCATCAGGCCCTCGGGAGGATCAGCCCACTGAAAGTAACACATCTCTTGTTTTTTCTTCCCCTCTTTTCCACTCTGTTGTCGTTTGCACCTCCTCCCTGTCTCCACCCCACCACGCTCCCTGATCCTTGCCCCCACATTTGTGCCACTCCACTCTGGGTACCTGCATTTGTCTGTGCTGCGGGGATTTGTTTTTTTGCTCTGTGTGGGTGCGTGCGTGTGTGCGTGTGTGAAGGCCTGCTGCTATCTGCACCCCCCACAGTGCCCAGCTTCTGCTGCACAGTGGGAGTGGACTGGAAGTCCCTGACCACACCGGCGTGCCTCCCGCTTACCACGGACTACTTCCCTGACCGGCAGACGCTGCAGAACGACTACACCGAGGGGTGCTACGATCTTCTGCCGCACAGCGACCTGGACAGGTAGGCTCCGCCCCGTCTGTAGGCGGGGTTTCAGGTTCTGACCCGAACGAGTCAGAATCAGCTTCACTGGTTTACAGCT